CCCCCCCACACACACACACAACAACAAAACAACAAACTCATAACTGTTACCTGTTGTGTAATGGTTGGGTGCTTAGCCGTTGTGCCAAAACAAAAAAAAACAACAAAACAAACAAAAACAAACAAAAAATACACACACACACACCCAAAAGAAAAAAAACAACAACAAAAAACGTGAATTCTATCCCCGCATGGAGGACTGTTCTTTTAAAATCGAATTTCTCCATCTCTGTCTGCCAGGGTGCTTTATCGAAATGAAACCTTGTTGGTCTTGGCAGGTAGGGTCGAGGCAGCTTACCTGCTTAATGGCTAATGGTGTAAACTGGCTTCCCTAGAATGACAAAATTCTATCTGCTCAGCAGCTTGTATTGAGAAATTTGACGTAAGAAATTTTGATTTTTCACAACCTGTCACGCTTTTTCGAATGCAATTCTTTGAATATCTCGATAAGGACTCCCAATAATCTTCCGATTTTGATAGAACAGATAGAACAATTGATTTCTGATCTCATGGTCTTAGTAACTCAAAACGACCAAAAAATGTCAGATAGAACTTTGTCATTTTAAGGTACCGAACTGTTTTAGTAGGGGTGTGAAAATCATAAATTATTCACAACCAGCCAGGATTGGAGCAGCTGTCCAGATGCACTGGTTCCTTTCACTGAATGTGAGACATATCCAGCTCACAGCACGTTTTCAAGAAGAGGAGAACCCAGAATTGAAGGATTAAGGGAATATTTTGAGTCTGTAATCTCAGCAAAGCCAATAAACTTAATGCTTAGTGAGCCCAATAATCTGAATGCTTATAGTGAACTTTGTGGACACCAAAATATACATTGAGCCAATTAGTGTAAACTGCTAGTCAGGGGCACTCTCTGGGTTTATCTATTGTTTTTGAGTTAATTCATATATGGACGTTTTCCAAAGGAGAGCTTTCAGAGGGTTTGCCATGACGGCACAAAAATATGCCATCTTTAAATTAATTGTACTGACTTGGTCCTCTTACATCTTTAACTTCTATTTCCTCCCGAATTCTTTTAGAGAGGAGGGCAGAAGCTGTTCTTTCAGCGATTCTTCACAAAAAGGCAAACATGTCGACAGAAAAGTGGACTGAGGGGCAGACAAGTAGAAATTTGATCAAACTAATAGCCAAGGAGGACAATAGGGCAGACTGGCAAACAGGTGGACAGACATATATTAGTTAAGTCACTAGCACACACACATACACACACATAAATACATACACACAAACAAACACACATACACACACACACTCTCTCACACACACATACACGCAGACAAGCACACACACACACACACACACACACACACACACACACACAACAGACAGGTGATAATAAACAGGGGCGTTCAAACAAACAGAATGATGTGCAAACAGTACCAGTTGTCCAGGTAGACCTTGCATTTGGGTTCCTCGGGGAAGTAGCTGATGCAGGTGTCCGCCACCTGGGCACAGTCTGGGTTTGTGACGTACAAATACGGGCTTCCCTGGCACATGTTCACCAGAGCCTGAAAGGGGCAGGGTGGAGGATTTGG